GGCCAGCCTGCTGCTCACCCTCATCCCACCCGCCGACAGGGACGCGGGGTACAAGTACTGTAACACCAGCCAGCAGCCGGGTGACCGAGGGGCCGCCGCCACGGTGCCCAGTCTGGGCACGAGCAGCCACAGTGTTTTAAGCATGAGTGCTGTTACGAACGCAAAAGCTGTGTTGAAAGAAACGGTGAAAACGACTGCTGGTGTTTTAATAGCAAGCAGAAAGCCAACACTAACCAGTGCAGCCTTCCAGGGATTATTTGGCCTGACAGATATGCTTGAGAAAAAAGGCAGAAGGATTGGTGAAGGTGGTACAAAAACAAATGTCTACTCTGATGGTCCCTCTGGCTGGACAACTTCTGTGGAAGCAGTTAACTGGGAGGCACGAGAGCCAGAAATGCCAGCTCCCTACAGACCTCCCTTACGTGGACTTGAGAAGGAAACAAGCAGTCTGGGTTCTGCTGCGATAGATCTTGCTGATAATGCTGAAGAAAGGCTTTATGCTACTGAAAGTAATGAGCTCTCTTGGTTTAAAACAACTCTTCCTACTGTTGGAGATGCTTATGTGTCTGGAAACCTTTCAGACCGCTGGAAAGATGCTCAGGATGTCAGCTTCAATGCGGTGCAAAACATCTTTCAGGACAGAGAGCATCAGATTTTTCTTATGGTACTGGGTGCTGTCGTGCTTTGGGAGCTGTTGGCTACGTCTCTGGAATGGACAGTGGATGAGAGTCTCTATGAATATCTCGACTTCGTTGACGCGACTGACAGGTATGGCAAGCTGTGGATTTGGAGTTACCTGGGTGCATCTGTAGGTGCCTGCAGCATTGCCATATTCGTGGATCAACTGAATTGCTTCCTCAGCAGTACAATCACCCGCCTCGCTGTCCATTTCTATGGCTATGCTCTCCTGATAACACTCTCGTTGTTCATCAGTGTCTTTTTTCCTGTCCATGTTCCCAAGAGAACTGACCGTGTTAATAAAACCGCCAAAGCCTTGGCCCTGCTGTGGAGCGACAGCCGAGCGATCCTGTACGCCATCACAGTCTTCCTCGCTGGCGCAGCTGGATCTGCGGTACAGAACTTTCTCTTCTGGCAGATGCAGGACCTAGGCAGCAGTGAGCTGTACATGGGGCTCTCTGTGGCCGTTGGGCTGCTTGCTGAAATTTTGCTTTATTTCTTCAAAGGGAAGTTGCTGAGGAGTTTCTCGAGCAGCAAAATTGTTGCAGTCAGTCTAAGCTTCCTGGCAGTACAGCTGCTGTGCTACTCCTTCTTGTGGACTGCGTGGTCAGTTCTCCTCATCCAGATTTTATCCGCCTTCAGTAGCGGTGCTTTGTGGTGGGTGGTTAACATGACGGTGGATGACATAGCCACTCCAGGCATGGAGAGGTCCCTGCACAGTGTTCTCCAGGGCCTCTGCTACGGTGGAGGAGCAAGCGTGGGCAGTTTTGCAGGGGGATTTGTCGTGAAGCACTTTGGCCTGGCAGTTCTCTACAGGGCGTGCTGTGTGTGCCTGGTACTGTGGCTCTTCTTAATCTTAATTGTCCAGTCTAAATTGCCGCGGCAGAAAAAGATCAATTATTCTCGTCTCTTGGCTGCTGATTCCAGCGATATGAGTGACTCTGACGAGGAGAATGAGAGGGACTGGCTGGTAAAAGCTATGAAAGATGAAATCTTTAATAGGAATTGGTCACAACAGCATGGGATCAACTAATCTGCTTGAATGTAGGGGGTGGAGTGGTAACGTGGTATGATGATGATGCCCAGAAATGACCATTAGTTCTACAGTGCTAAATATATACAGTATATATCTGACAGGACAGATTTTTATTTAAAAAATTTTATAAATCTTTTTATTTTCCTAATTTATAGCGTTCTTGTAGTAATTTTTCCTTTTTAACTTAATGATTTTGCTTCCAAAATCATAACAAGGTATTTCAGGTATACATTTGCTGAAATGAATGTAGCTGTTTTTAGTCAAAAAGCAAACTTGAATTGAATTCTTGCTCCCCAGAGCTGATGCTGTGGAAACTGTGAGCAAAAGCTGTGACCTGTACTTTGACACAATTGAATGAAAAATATTGTAATGCTAATAGCACACTAAACTTTTTCAAGGTGCTGTCTGTGAACTCTTTTCGCTGAATAAGGGATGTGAATAAAAAAATGGTTCATTTGCTCTGCTTTGATTTGTAAAATCAGGTTTTGCTACAGACTGTCTGTCTTCTCATGTTTTGGGATTTAAGTGTGCTTCTGCATCGGCATCTATTGGAAAAACCCTACCATGTCCGCTCACAGTCAGTGCCTGCTGGCTGTCCAAATCGAGCAGAGCAGCCTGTGGACTTCCTTGTGTTTATTTACCTAAGGTGGCACCCGGCATTCAGGGTGACCAGGAAGCAGCCTGCCCTCCTGATTTGAGTAACTTCTGTGGGCTGGGAATTAACGTAGGGCAGTATTCATTCAGAAGGAACTTGGCACTGGCTGAGTTGATCTGGTTGAAGCTGGTGATCCTCCTTGGGTCAGTTTGGCCTGAGAGCAGCCCTCTTCTCACGTTTCCTATTTAGAACTAAATCTGTGTCCTGAACAGGGCCTGCTAAGTCTGGAAGGATCCTCAAGCTGCCTTATCTGCCTTGCCTTAAACTCAAAAGCACACAGATTTCAACACCTCTTCAATAGGTAAGATTTGCTTACAAATGAAAAATTGGTGGTCTGATCTCATTAAAAGAGCTGTGTCAGACCTTAAATGGGGCTGGCGGAGAAGCTTTGAGCCTTACAGTCCTTTCAGGTACCATCAAAAGCTGTTGTCAGTTTATTAGGTACTTCCTCGGTCAGGGAACTATATCGTTCCTTGCAGAGGAATAGATTTTTAATATCTTCCTAGTGTTTTACAAGCCATGAGACAGGCAGCTACAAAAAGCTGAATATTTATTTAAATGCATATTTACTATGTAATATGCAAATGGCATTGAAATCTCTGACTCCCCTGCGTTCTGGACTCAGTAGAAAGTGGTTGGAGACAACGAAAAGCAATGCCATTGAAGATAATCTCTTTCTCTGTATGCATCGATTCCAGATTATCTGTACATCAAATGCTTTCAGGGTAATTAGCTCTCTCTTTTCCTGGCACAAATCCACTATGCCATACAGAATACTCTACTAGAATGACTCTATAGATAGAATTGTCCTTGTGCCAAGAATAGCTGGAACTTTTTATTAAGATCTTACCTTCTCCCAGGAATTCAAACTCAAGCTGAGAACAATGTTAGCGTCAAGAATTTATCCCAGCCTTATTATCATATAATACCTCAGGAACTCTAATTACTTGTTAATAGAGCATCTGACTTCAGTCTTGAGTAACATAACTGCAAGCAGCACATTATAGAGCCTAAGTGCTTTTGTGAGATGAACGCTGCAGAAATAGCTGGAATGGTTTAAAATGCAGTTGCTTCTTTAGCTGGAAGTGACTGCCCTCATTTGAAACCAATTAAATGGGTGATATGTGCTCTTATCTGCTTCAGCACAAAATCAGCTGCTGTAATTCCGGTTTTGCAAAGAGAAACCTTGAAATGAAAAGTGCTTGTGCAATTCGTCCTGCGACTGTGGTGGAGGGGTGGTAACAGCTGCCTGGCAGAGCCGTGGTGTGACTCCCTGGGCTCTTACCTCCGTGGTTGTTTTGGCCATGGATGTTCAGATGTGCTCAGCCACTGCCGCTATGAACAGGGAAGATTTAAGGTATGGCCCAAAGCTTAACTTCAGCGTAATAATTTTGCTTAATAAGATTTTTTTTTTTTAATTATTAATCCAATAAACACATTTGGTGCTGATTCAGGGGAGAATCATATTTATACAGTTTGAAATATGTTCTGAATTACAAACCACTATGGAAGTGAATGTGGCAGAGGGCTCGTTCACTGAAGAAATTGCACCAATTTGGTTAAATCATTTTCCACTGAGGTTTATAGGGTTTCTGTGTGTGAGCTCTACATCGGTGACTCAATTTCTTCCTCTCTGGTGGTCACAGACCCTGCAAGCCAAAAGGGTAAGGAAGGAGATGGACTTAAATTGTTCTGTGTGAGACTTCTTTGCTCTGAGCATGGCCTTACTGTTCTTGCAGAAGTAAGAGTGTGCCAAGGCATTTAATGCTGTTGGGAATAAGATGTAACTGAGAAGAACCAAACTGCCTTTGGGGAAAATAGATTCTCATGATGTATTTCCAGCCACATCAGTAGTTATTTTTGCATTACTTTGCAACTATTTGCCAAAAAATTGATGTTGAAACTTCTATTTAAGTTTTTACTCTTAAACAGGAATTGTAAGGTTAAAATTGATTATAAAATCACATGAGATTTTACTGTTTGCTTACTTCACGGTGAGCTTTAAGCAAATTTCAGAGGCTTATATGTAGAAATACTTTTTTTTGTCCCTTAGTGTCAGTCCAGGGTCTAAGTCAAGCTGTGTCCTTCTTCTCTGAATACAATTAGATTTAATTGAGCTCAGGAGGCAGACCATAGTTAGCATTGAGGAACAAGTTCTGCACAATGATGGTCTTTGTAGCTCTTAGATTTTACATTTCACATACTCAATGTATGTGTACTTTGTGAGAGGTTTCAAAGGATCTAAGTAAATCAGTTTTATTAGATGAGACACCATTTGCCAAAAAATGACAAAGGCCTCTTTGCTTATCATGAAACAACTTACAGGCCCTGCAGGTAGTTTCGGTATACAGCTGATGCAGCTGAACTGGAATCTGAGTAACTCATTGCATCAGACACCTTATCTTGCTTTTTAAAAATTTGTTCCCAAGTTATAAGAGAACTGAAATTGCAGATTCTGTCTTTCTGGCAGTTACTTTATGATGGAATATTGCAAATGTTTCTTTCAGCTCCTCTCTGTGTGCGCCTCACATCTGCGATTGACTTAAATAGCGTGGCACTTTCAGAATATGAAATTAGATAAAACTCAGTGGGCACTGATCTCTAAACGTTCATATTTCTTGTCTGATCAGCATAGTAAAATCCTTTCCAGCGTTCTCCAAAGATTTCTATAATTCAGCAAACAACCACAGCATGTTTCTTTGTGGACTGTAATGAAATCTGCCCAGATGAATTCACAGAGAAGTTTTTGTATTTTTGTCATGAGTCGTTTCCCAAAATTGTACCATTTAAGGTAAGTCCATTTAGCTGTAGTTTCACAAGAAGGGGAGAGTGATGTTTTTGAGAGCTGTGGAGTTATTCTGCATGTTCTGAATCTTAAAAGCAAGAGCTCTTCAATTGTCTTTTCTTCCGTGATGGGGTGTAATGCCTCTAAGGCACAATCCATGCTCTCTTCGGTGCTGCTAGTAAAAGTGTTTCTCGTCTCATTCATCTTTGAAGTACAGACAAGACATTCCCACTCTGATTTGAACTCTTAGGTGAATTATGATTACAGCATGATACCGAAATTCTGTGCCTTTATAATATGGGTCCCATATAGACTTCTTAAAAGTATTAAGCAGCTCCTGACCATTACTGGCATGAGCACTAAGTAGTACTAATGCAGGGGGAAAAAAAGAGTCTATCTTGAAGTATCTTGACACTCTCAGCTTGGCATCTGTATTGCTGTATTTATCGAGAGGGAGCCAATGTAAAGGAATCTCTGCTAATTTAAACTATATTTCTCAGGGAACGGATAATTTTTTTTTCTGCATCGTTTCTCCCTGGGGCCTGGTTTTGCTGTAATATAAATGACTTTTCTGGCCAAGGGCAATTTTTTAATTTAAATTGGGTATGTTGAGACCATAAAACTGTGAACCCAAATGTAGAGGTGAGTATGAGGCAACTTTAAAATTAACCTTTGCTTCACCTTTAATACTTAGAAATCTTGCCTGAAGAAATCAAGGAACAGAAGACGTAGTTATCTTATCACGACCTCACCAGTACAGCAGACAGGGAAGTTGTTGGTAACATGGCTTCATTTTTGAAACTTTGAGAACATTTCTACCTCTAATCAGGTTGAAAGGTCAGAACTATGGAGGTAGTTACAACACCGAAAATTTTGTTTGTGTTAACACAGGTTTTTATTGTTAGTAATAGGAATTTTAAGCCAGGAAACACAATCACATGCTGAAATAACTTTAATATTCAAAGCAGGAATTGAGAAACATGAACCTGATTTTTTGACAAATCCTAAGGAAAATAAACTTCTTAAATAACTCCAAACCAGTTATTCTGACATATACATCCCTCCCCAGGAATAGGCATTCAGGTCCTTGGGACCACAGTCCTTTCTCAACAAGTGACAAAATATTCAGCTTCCTTCTGTCATCAAGATGCGCCTAATTGCGTTGGCAGTGAAGGGTCCTGTGAGCATCACCTTGGAAGCATTTTTGAAGACTTGGAATTTGTTGAATGTGCATTATCAGTATCTGTTGTTTGCTGTTGCCTACTCAGGCTGTTTCTTTAAAGAGCTTCAAATGATCGTGTCCATCCCAATGTTCTCCAAGCTGCATTTTAATTCCCATTGTATTTGTCAGCACCTTTCAAGTGCCTGGGAGATTGTATTACTGTTGCTTGGAACTGGATGATGTTCTGTTTATAAGCTTATAATGTATGTGTACTTTCTATTGTGTAGGTGCTTGATTTCTACAGAAGTGACTGTATAGAGGGAAATATTAGCGCTTTTAAGAAATATTCTGCTAGGGCCCCAAAAGCGTTGCTGCTAGTGACTCTCCTTTCATGT